TACCATATGCAGAATCTTCTAAAAATGCAGCTAAAAGAAAAGCAAATGAGGACATAAACAAAGAACAACAACAAAAAGAATCAAGTAAATATTTACCATTTATCTGCCTTTATTTTTTAGGAATCACTTAATATATTTTTTTTAAATATCTAGAACATCCTTGTCCAACTTGTAAGGGGACTGATCATTCACATTCTTCAAGTAACCTTTGTAAATTTCAAAAATAGTGTGCATCCAAATCTGTTCAAGAAAAAAACACAAAATACAAATGATGCACAGTAAAAAACTGGACTTGGAGGATTCCTTAAAGATAAAGATCTTGAGCCTGCAATCCAAAGTGCTGTTGAAAGAATGACTCAAATTGTTTTTGAAGGCTCTTGATTGGCTAACCAAACAGCACTTTATCATGTGACCCTTGGTGATTGATTCCTTTCAACACAAGTGAAGGTGCTTTCAAGTATATGAGGCAATGATACCCTCTATACACAATATCAACCTTGAGGAATGAGTTGGACAAATAAAAAATCATTAGGACAACTTCTCTCCTCTGCTACATGGCAATATGTTACAAATTGTCAGAACCACATAACAACAAATTTTGATAACTGACTTAAAAGATGGATAAAATATAAATTATTTAAGATTCATCAATTTCCTTTACCCAAAAAACACATCAACACCATTATAAACCATTTCATCACTAACTTGAAAAATCAAGATCTCCCTTCCCTCCCTTCTAAGGCTCTGAACGAATTGAAACGAATCGAATTTAAGAGTGATTTGATTTGAACCAAATTCCTAAAATTTTTTTAACGTCATATTAATATTAAATTTATATTTTAATTTGATAATTTAAATTTATATTACACAGTGAATCTCAATTAGTGTGCCTCCATTTAATGAATACTAATGGATCAAGGTCTAAGAATGGTTTAATGATATAACGGATTTCTTGATATTATTAATGGTTGTGTGACCTATATTATTAATAATGAGTAAAAAAGTAACGATTTACAGTTGTACAATTCATTAAATCTAATACTAAAATAAGAAGTACTAATATTACTGATGCTTCATTCAACTTCTTCAACTTCTTCAACAAGAGATGCAATTATTGCTCCAAGTAAAAATTTTTTTTTGAATTTTACAATATTTATACTATATAAATAAATATAAAATAAAAAATATTTTTGTAAATAAAATTATAAAATATACATTGAAATAAAGATTTTTCATTTATTATATATAGTGTATTTGATTCAAATCATGGATTCAAATCAGTTATTATTATAGATTCGTACCAGCCAGTTTGAATCAAATCAAATCAGTTCAAATCAAATTATATATTCGAATCAGTTCGAATTGTATCAAATTATATATTCAAATCCGTTCAAATCAAATCAAATCAAATCAAATTCGAATCCGTTCAAATCAAATTATATATTCGAATTCAAATTGGTTCAAATTGGTTCGAATTTCATTGATTCATTTGGAGCCTTACTCCCTTCAAACATTATTGATAAACTCTCTACATCACATCCACAATACCTAATTTACCTTACTACCCTACCCACATTCAATATATTCATTTGAAAGTGCAACAGACATTATTCCAAAATCAAGCTCTTTGATGATGTGTCTGTAAAAGCATCCTGGTGGTCATATCTTTCAGGTCTTCATAAAATCCTGTGCACCTTTACCAAACATAACAGGGAATGTGGTCTCCATCTCTTCACACTTCTGCCTGAATACTCTTTCCAACAAAAGTACATATTGGTTGATACTGATGCTTTATATTATATGTACAAATCGATTGAAAAAGTAGGAGTAACAACCATTCAAAGATTCAGAACTGAAAAGGAAATTTGGTGGATGGAAGCATTTAATATTAATAAAGTCACCACCCAAAATCGAATCTTTGCTTACTCTATACAAACTGATGGTCTTGCAGTATCAGTTAATCTGCAGAAGAAGGTTAATGATGATAAAGAGGATGTTGATGAAGAAGGATTAAAGATTGATTTAAATGGATGCAAAGTATTTGGACTGGATCCTGGAAGAAAAGATCTGTTTACAGCAGTGAGTTCAGATGAAAAAGTTGTGAGCTGTTCCAACAAGGAGTACTGGAACTTAGCAGGGTTTGTTTGTGCTTGTAAAAAACATGAGTTGTGGTTGGAAAAAAATAAATATCTTCAGGCTGCTATTCAAGGTGAACTATACTTTGTTAATTTAATTTGCTGTTAAACAAGAATATCATTGAATAATATTACTTACATACCTTTTGCCTAATACTAATACAAAATCTAGATATTCCAACCTCTGGTGTCATCAATGTCTATGAATATGGCTCTTACCTTGCTTACATTCTGTTTTATCTTGATATAATTCTTGATTTTTATTGTGAGTGTCACCGGTGTCAGTTGTGATGGAAATCTTTTATTAATAAACAGAAGGCCTTTGATATTCTGTGCAAGATAATAACAAATAGCAATGATGACAGTACGGTTGTTGCATTTGGTGATGGTAAATTCTCATCAACATCATGTGGGCATGCTCCAGGCCCTGTAAAGGTATTTCACCAGGAGCTTTGCAGGGTGGTGAACATTGATGAGTTCTGTACTTACTCAGTCTGTTCTTTGTGTGATGGGTGGTTTGATAAGCATCAAAAATTCTGGTCTGTTAGAGTCTGCAAATCAGTCTGTCTGACACATTGGAATCGAGATGTTAATGCTGCCTGTAACATAAGGAACATTTTTTTGCACACAAACACTTATGGAGAGAGACCTGATCCATTTATAAGGGGGACTTACTGACCTCTCTGCTGCCATTTTAACTGTGGCAGGATATGTCTAGCTGGTGGCAGCAGCAGCAATGATGACTTTCTATGAAGCCACAATTAGCTATAGGGAGGATTTGGATCTTCCTGATTTAGTGTAATAAGGTTTACTTGTTATAGATTGTAGAATTTTACTATGGCGATCTGCATGTCACGTTTCTGCCAAACACATGTGCCACTTCAAAAATTTTTGGCTGAAAATGTTTCTATAATTAGCAATAATTTAGACACTTGGGTACATTTAATTTTACAAGATGCCAAAAATATTTTACGTAATAATTACCAACCAAATTTTGACACGGTGAATCTCGATTTAACGGTTCTTTATTAAAAGCTTTATAAATTATAGGAAAATGTTGTCCATGTTCAGAACACGTTTGCCTCTAGTTTCATCCTTTTCCTTTTCAAAAAGCTTTGTTAGAAATTATGCCTCAGAACATATCGTATATAATCTCCCTAAAGAAGACACGTACACAGGATATGAATGCGAGCCTCCGTCTTTAGAAGTTCAAATAACCAAAGAGGAAATAGTTCATATGTACAAGCAAATGGTAATAATGCGTAGAATGGAAGTTACTTCTGATGGTTTATATAAATCAAAATTTATTAGAGGTTTTTGTCATTTGTGTACAGGTCAAGTATGTATATTTATTTTAACAGTATGAATTTTATATTATAATACTACTATATACTATCAACTAATTTATCATGGATTTTTTTAAATTAGGAAGCAGTATCTGTTGGTATGGAATCTGCTATAACACCAGAAGATGCAGTTATAACTGCTTATCGATGCCACGGTTATACCATGGTAAGAGGTGCAACACCTTATCAAATTCTTTCAGAGCTTGCAGGTAACTAACTAATATTATTATTGACTCAATATTAATTGTTCAATTGATTAATTATATTCGTTCTATGATTAGGCCGTAAAACTGGCATTTCAAAAGGAAAAGGTGGCTCTATGCATATGTTTGCAAAAAACTTTTATGGTGGTAATGGAATTGTTGGTGCACAGGTATTATTATTATTATAAAAATCATTATATTTATATATATATATATATATTTATTTAAAAGAACGTTTACACATTTGTATGTATGCTTTTTTACGCTAGGTACCTGTCGGTGCGGGCATAGCATTTACACAAAAATATAACAATACCAATAATGCCACATTTATTTTATATGGAGATGGTGCAGCTAATCAAGGACAAGTTTTTGAATCTTACAATATGGCCAAATTATGGAATTTGCCAGCAATTTTTGTATGTGAAAATAATTTTTATGGAATGGGAACATCTATCGACAGAAGTTCTGCGAATACACGATTTTACACTCGTGGACAGTATATCCCTGGTCTTAAGGTTAGTATTATAGTGATAAAATTTATTTTAATTGTATTTGTTTACCTAAAATAATCTTGATTTCTTTTGATTAAAAAATAACGATTAGGTTAATGGTATGGATGTAATGGCAGTTAAAAATGCGTGTTCATGGGCTAAAGATTGGACTGTTTCTGGAAAAGGACCTTTAGTAATGGAGATGGTTACTTATCGTTATGGTGGTCATTCTATGTCAGACCCTGGTACAACTTATAGAACAAGAGAAGAAATTCAACATATGAGAAGTATAAATGATCCAATTACCAAACTAAAGCAACGCATAATAGACATAGGCCTTCTTACAGAAACAGAGCTTAAGGTGACAATAATGATTATAATATTTTAAAACCCTAAAGAAAAAAAATTTTTTTTAAATATTTTTTGCTGTTAAAATATTAGCAAGTTGAAAAGGAAGCACGTACAATTCTTGAAGATGCATCTAAAAAAGCTCAAAGTGACCCGTTACCTGATGAATCAGAATTGTATACTAATGTATACGTTAAAGGATCAAACCCACCTTCTATACGTGGCAGAGAAAGAGAAGAATTTGGAATTGTAGAATAAACTCATTATAGATATATTTTTTTTTGTTTTAATCAATAACTATTAATTTATTTCAATTTTCTAATTATAAATAGTAATTTAAATTTTTTTTAATATTATTTATTTTACTGCTGTTGATATTGAGTTGTTTGATCTTCTTCAGTATTTAAATCTGCATTCTTTTTAGCTTGATGTACAACATAATGTTCTCTAGAAACCTTAGGTTTTTGACAATGAGCCTCGGCTTGATCACTAAACACCAAATGATCAATTATCGGGA